CTCAAGGTGGAACTTCAAGATTACCACGTGAATGGGCCCAAGCAAGCCTCATGAAGGTGAACCTCATGGAGGTGACTGAGGCACCCCTCAAACAGCTTACCAACTGCCAGACCTATGGGTAAGCCCCTCCAAGCCTAGCTGACTGCAATCACACGAATGGGCTTAGGTAAGAACAGAAGAACTACCCCGCTGAACCCAGACCAGATCACCAGTTCATAAAATCATAGACTACGAGTCTTGAGCCACTAGGTTTCGGGTGGTTTGTTATGCAGCAAAGACTGACTGATACACATATCCAGTGAACATACACCGGGCAGACAAAACATCTACACATGCACACGTAAATGTACATAAATGGCCTCCTGTAGAAAATGTCAGCACCCACATAGACACACCCCTTACAGGTCACACGCAGACATTCCAAGCCATCACCCAACCCCACACACACCTCTATTCAGGCCACTATTCAGGGTCACACATCAATGTAAATACATTATGGGAATGGGTGGGTCACCAATTCCCAAGCTCTATGTCCCCGGAGCTGCCCAGCACAGTACAGTGCAGGGCGTGGAGAAGGACTCAGCAGACCATAGTTGACCGAATGGATGAATAAAGCGAAGGGCACAAAATGAGCAATCGGTTGGCACAGTGAGCAAATGGTGCTGGAAGTTTCCCAGGGGTAAATGAAGAGGCCTGGCAGTGGGGATCACAGCTTCAGTTTCTATCCCTCTTAGAGATCTGCTGGCAGAGCATATAGGAGGTGCTCACAAATGTTTATATTACAGATTATACTTGTGCTTGAGATTCTCTTTTAAAAATTGGTCCCCCCCTTTTTTTAGTCGGGGGAGGGGTTGCGAAAGGGCATTTGAAGGAAGTTGGAACCAATACGTTACCTTCTGAGTAACTATGAGGACATTGAGGATGTCAGAGAGGTAAGGATGTGTTATAAGGAAATTAGGGGAATGAAAAACAAAGCAGGTAGTAACTCCAGGAAAAACCGAGAGCTTCTCAAGAAAGGAAATATAACCATCATATGTGATTCAGGTTTGCAGGAAACAGTATTTGTATAGTTACAATATAAATAACACTAAGTATTCACTTAATGTAAGAAAATGGTGAGGGGCACCTGGGTGGCTCAGTCGGTTAACCATCCAACTCTAGACTTTGGCTCAGGTCATAATCATGGTTCATGAGTTCGAGCCCCATGTTAGTACAGAGCCTGCTTGGGTTTCTCTCTCCCTCTTTCTCTCTGCCCTTCCCCCATTCACACACTCTTTCTCTCTCTCTCTCAAAATAAATAAACATTTAAAAAATGGTGATAAATGTAGATTGAAAGGAGAGTGAGAATAATCAACTCTTCCTTGATAATAATAATTATAAGAAATATTTTCAACCACTTCCAGAGTAATTATTCTGGTACATTAATCTAGGTACTTTACATGTTGAACCCTCATAACAATCCCATAACTTAAATATTCTTATTACTCTCATTTTACAAGTGAGGCAACTGACCACAAAGAGGTTAAGTCACTTGCCTGAGATCACATGGGCAGTAAGGGGAACAGCTGGGATTCAAACCCAGGCAGTCAGGTTACAGAAGTGACACTGTGGAGATGTCAGGCAATATTTGCCTAACGTTAATCCAGAAAACCACAGGAAAAGCATCTAACTCAGAAATATGGAAGAAAGTACCAGAAGAAATAGTCAAAAGAGTCAATGCAGTCATTCAGGGGGCCAGGCAGGGGAAGGACACGGCAACAAAATGTGTTTTTATTAGTACTACTTAATTTATACAGATACATAGATATATCCACAAGATAGGGGCAGCAGTTGACAGAGAAGGGACACGAGAGAATTTTCCACAGTGATGCAAAGTTGCTCTACGTCCTGACTGGGGTTTGGGAAAGAGTATGCCCTTGTCTAAACTCAGCAAACAGCAGCTTTAAGATCTGTGCATTTCACAGTATGTAAATTTCACACACACACACACACACACACACACACACACACACCTGTAAACACATATTGAACTCTAGCTAATGATATAATGCATGCTAAAAGGCCTTCAAGGGAAGTGTTTGTAACTTACTTTAAAACGTTTCAAAAAAGTTAACTTGTCTTAATAGATGGATGGATGCCTGATGAAGCAAATCTAACAAAATAGTAAGAATTGTGCATCCAGGGGCGCCTGGATGGCTCAGTCAGTAAAGCGTCTGACTTCGGCTCAGGTCATCATCTCACCACTCGTGGGTTGAAGCCCTGCGTCCAGCTCTGTGCTGACAGCTCAGAGGCTGGAGCCTGCTTCAGATTCTGTGTCTCCCTCTCTCTGCCCCTCCTCCACTGGTGTGTGCTCTCTCTGTCTCTCTCAAAAATGAGTAAATGTTTTTAAAAAATTTAGGAAAAAAAAAGAAAAGAATTGTGCATCCAATAGGTGGGTATATACGTGTTCGCTGTATCATTCCTTCAAGTCTCAAGTCTGAAACTTTTCTTAATAAAGTGTTGGGGGATAATACACATGTATTATCTGAAAAATAAGATTCTTAAAAATCTAAATGGGTTGTTCTATCTTGGGCCTGAAAGGACCCACACAGCTATAAACCTGTATGCATATCCTTCTCGGGGGCAGCTACCACCATGCTCTTGCCTAAGCGCCCCCCTGCCCTAGGACCTAGAGTCAGGGACCTAAAGACGAATCCCTCAGTCCCTCCCTGCTTCCCCGGGACACAGGATGTCAGACAGGATGGGTGTCTCCTCTGCCTGGTCCCCTTGAACACTTCAGTAGCAGAACAAGAACCATTTCATCAGGGAAAGGAACAGGGCCCTCCAAGTATCCCATCCTCTGCCAAAAGGGTAGACTGAGGCCTGGCAGGTGGGGCCAAGTGCCTTTCCCAAGGGCCCATCACACCTTCATGACAGGAGTGAGCAGCCAGATTGCGGGGCTCCCAAGCCCACGTGTATATAATTAGCTGCTGGGAACCAGATCCGGGAGCAGATCTCATCTCCGCCTAATTAGGGGCTGGGCAGCTGGGGCCAGTCTGGCCTGGGGGCGCTGCTATGAAAGCCAGGCAGCCCCCGGGGACAGGGCAGCAGCTGCGGGCCCTGGCTGCTGCTCCCTGCCCCTCACACTCGGACCGAAGGCGGAACAATGGAGGGGCTGTTTTTGCAGATCCCCGAGGCTGGCAGAAGCCCCCGGTCATTCCCTCCACAGACCCCCACAGGGGAAGTTGATAGGTTCCAGAATCCTGGCGGAAGGGGAGTCCTCCTAGAACCTGGAACCACCTTCTCCACGTCCAAGAATGCCTGCCTGCTCTCTCTCGCTCTCTCAAACAGACCTGCCCGGTGCCCTTCCTGACTACCCCCCTGCCCCGCTCCCGGGAACAGGTCTGGTCTTAGAGCAGAAGTCCCTGAACATATCTGTCCCCACATTATAGGACAACGTGTCTGCTGATCAGCTGCCCCTTCCCTTCCGCCAGACACGGCAGGACCCACATCTGTCTTACCCGCTGCTGGGCACTCAGCAGATGCTGGGGGGGGGGGGGGAGAGGGAGGGAAGACCGCCAGGACCCAGGGCAGGGAAGAGGGGTAAGGCGTGGGTTGGGAGAATCAGGGAGCCAGGCTATGGGGTGTGCAGCTGGCGTGCAGGCCTGCTCTATGACAGTCCCCAAGACGCTATCCTTCCAGGTCCAAGACAGACCCTGGAAAGGCGACCTGGAAGATTCAGGGACAGGATGAGCATGAAGGGTCTGCGCCTAGGACTTAACCTCCTCCAGGAACGAGGGGTCTCCTGGCCCGTCACCCACCAGTACTACGTTCTGAAATGCAGCCACAACATACCCACTTTCTTGGAGTTTTGGGGTGCTGGCGGCTCACGGGAAGGGGCAACGCTTAGCAAAAACTTCTGGCCAGGCTGACTGGAGGAGCTGCTCTTTGCCATCTCAAAGGACACCTCCTCTGCAGAGTCTGCCCAGATTACCCTTCCTGACCCCTCACTATTTTAACTTGAGGACCAGAAGGCTCAACTCCCGCACTGTCAGAGCTGCTGGGTGCCTGCAGGCAGGTCATAGGCCTCCCTGGGCCTCAGTCTCCCCATCTGTATCATCAGGAGGTAGACTCCATTCTCATGAGTTGGCCACTCTCTTCTGTCACCCAGTTTCCCCTTGTTTCCCTGAACCACCCAGGTCCAGCCCAATTCCCTGGGGGCCGATTATAGCCTGTCAGACAGACAGACAGACAGACAGACAGCTGGGCTGACCTGGATGTTGGTCAACAGCCCAACGGAAATCTCCTCTTTATGCTTAAAATAAAACTTACAACAAACCTGTCACCAGGGCCCCCATTTGAGCTTCCTGTTTCTGAGTGCTGCAGCCAGCACAGCCTGAAGGAGAGGAAACACCACCCAGCGCTTCCCCACTCCCACCCCGGGGGTGGGCAGGGGCCACCCAGGCTTCACCCTTTGTGTGCCCAGCCCTGGCTGTACCATCAGCCAGGCTGGAGGCTTCCCGCAGGGAACTAGCCTAGAGGGAGACAGGAAGGAACTGAGACCTCAGAGTGGGATCCTCCCCCTCCCCCAGCCCCCTGAGGACTTGCTGTCCCAGTCTCCCACTGAAGCCCAGCGAGGGAGACCGGCGTGTCCAGGGTCACCCAGAATGGGAGGCGAGGCCACTTGTTTTGTGCTGTCCACCCCAAGTCCATCTTCCTCTAAGAACTCCCACTTCCAACCCCCAATCCATGGCTTGGGGATTGCATCTTTGAGCTTTCTGCCCCCTTGGGAACAGGGCAGGGATAGGGAAGGGTCCATGTACCCATCGGCCTTTCCCCTGACGGTCCCCTTCCTGGCGCAGAGGAAAGACCTGTCCCGGCTCTATCTAGACTCACTCTGTGGCCAGACCCAGGTTCGTCCTCTGTGAAGGAGGCCCTACCCCAAAACTTCTGAAGGCCCTACCCCAAAACTTCTCCCACCCCTTCTCCTTGTGAACATGGAAGAATCGAATGACCCAGCCTTTGAAAAAGATGCATCTGTGTTTATTAACCAAAAGGGGGGAAGTCAGCTGTACAGGCCCCTATCAGTCCCTCCCATAGTCTACCCACCTGAGCCAGGCTGCCAAGGCCCTGCCCCCACCCAGAGTAAGTTCCAGGGAACCGGGGGGCCCACTGGGAGAGGAAGAGGAAGTCAGCCAAGGTCAGAGACCAAGGAAGAAGGAAACAGAACCATTAGGCCTAGTAAGATCCTTCGGCCCCTCCCTCTCGGTGGAGAAGGCTAAGTGCCCCAAACCCAAACCCCCAAGAAGAACCAAGCAGGACTCATGTCAAAACCTCTACACGTGAAGGGCAGAGGGTGGCCCAAGGTCAAGAGGCAACCCTCTCAGGGGTCAGTCCTTGCCGGGTGGATGCCGGTCCCGCCTCTGAGGCTCTGCCTCCATGCCAAGTTCACACAAGGCCCCAGCCTCTGGTCTGTCCCATGCCAGCAAATGGATGCAGAAGAGGTCAAGGGGCTAAGCTGCCTCTCTAAGATCTGTCCGTGGCAAATGCCGCGGCCAGGGGAAGCCTAGCCCTCAGCCGCTGGGGTGTCGCGCGCCTGCCGCAACCCGTACAGCCACTTGATCACGCGGGCGTTACGCTCTACCACCGACACGCCATAGGGGACGCGCTCCCGCTCCCGCGCGCGCTCCTCGACAGTGGCAGAGCTGCGGCGGGAGCAGTCCCCCTCAGAGCTGCCGGGCCCCGCACTGGGTCCGGCCAGGGACACGATGTCTGAGCTGGCCCGCGCCAGGTGCGCCACTCCCAGCCCCCGTGCCTCCTCCGGGTCCAGGCCGCAGAAGTTAAAAAATCGCTCAAGATCAGCTGCTGCCCGTGAGAAACGCTCGCTCAAATCCGACTTAGAGCGTTGCAAACCTGGGGGCCGAGCTGGGCTGGAGGCAGTGGTGGTGCCTGGCGATGGGCAGGGCTGGGCAGGCGAGGCAGGCAAGGGACGGACGTCCACGCGGCGCACCGCAGAAGTGCTGGGGGGTGGGCGTGGGGGGGTGGCTGGGGGCGCCTGGTGGGCTCCCTCTGTCCGTCCAGGGGTACGGCCGGCCTCGGCAGGGGACGCAGGACTATCACACAAGTCGATGAGGCTGCTGAGGATGTCCAAGTCCAGCTGGGGCCGGCGGCCAGGGCCAGGCAGGACTCGGCGGCTAGGTGTGAGCACGGTGCGGCGAGTCCCAGGGCTGAAGAGTGGCTGTTTGGACAGCAGCGGCTGCACAGGTTCCTGGCGAGTGTTGGCCACATGCAGGCTCTTGACGTACTTGGCCTTGTCGGCCTCCAGGCGCTCCACAGCGCTGGGTTTCCGGGCTCCACCATCTGCTGGCCGCCGCAGCAGGTAGCCGGGGACTTTGGTCCGCAGGCGGAAAGGTAGGGCAGGGGCGTCCCGGGCTCCCGGAGTCAGTGCGTCCACAGGCATGGCTGTTACATACCCCGAGGGCTTTGGTCTTAGGAGACCGGAGAAATGAGGAGACAGATCCGGGCAGAAAGTTGGCAGCTGGACGCTCGTAACGGCTGCAGGGGAGGAAAGACAGAGGCTGAGCGCGCTCAGACAAAGGCTCAGCAGAGACCGAAAAGGGCCCAAGACGCCTTCCCTATTAAAAGGTAATAGCCACGCCCGTGGCTTACAGGGAGCCAATCAGAAGACAGTAGGTCACCACTGAGAGCCTGTGACTCCGCCCACAGCCCCGCCTCCTTCTCCGGAGACCAGCCCCTGCTGAGACTGAGAGGAAAAAGTGTCAGAATGACAGGGGCAGCCCGAGCAGAAAAGACGGGGCAAGTCACTTTGCTATAAAGGAAGCAAAGTAGGCTCCAGGCCACATGCTGGGCACTAGCCAACTTAAGCTCTCAATGGGTCTCCTGAGCAACTCCATTTTGTATGTAGGGAAACCGAAGCTCGGGGAGCTCTACCAAATTGATTAAGCTAACCCAGCAAATTGGTGGCTCTGCCCCTTCCTTCCAACCAGGGAGGTGCCGGCACAGCAGTTTTAGGGTTGGGTGCCCAAGAGAAAAGGGCTCTAACCCCACACCCCGCCCGGACTGCCCCCAGGGAACCTGGGATCACCTCCTACATTTACCCACCCAGGCAGGAAGCTGCCCTGTGCTATCCACCTGTCAGGACATGCCAGGCCCCAGGCATAGCAATAAGCTAGCGAGGGAGGGGTGTAGAAAGCTCCCCCCCACCCCCAGAGAGGTCCAGACACTCGTCAGCTTCCAGTATGGGACTTCACAGTGATCGATAGATGCCTGTCAGCTAGAAATATCAGCCCTGAGCTCTGCTGCCCTGAGAGGCTGGAAATGCCGTTGATCACAGAACCCTTGAGAGCAACCAGCAGCCATAGGATGGGCACCCATAGGCAAGGGGGCCCACAGCTGGGTGCCCAGGTGTCTACATGATCCCTTAAGCATCAGGGCCTGGTGCTCCAGGCATCAGGCCAGCCCTGATCTTTTTTCCAAGAAAACACTGGAGCCACAAAGTGTCCCCCAACCAACTCTCCCAGATATGGGCCAGAAGAAAACCGACAGACCAAGTCCTGAAACTTCCCATCTGTGAAATGAAAGAGAAGGCCTTTGATCTCCGTGGTCCCCAAGAGGACTTGTCATTCAGACCATTCACACCTGTGTTGTCTAATCAACTAGCCACGTACAGCAAGTGAACCTTAGCTTTAAATCGAAATTAAATAAAAACTTGCGATTTGGTTCCTCAATCGCCTGAGCCACATTTCACATACTCAACAGCCACTCCAGTGGTCACTACAGTAGACAGTGCAGATCAGAGCATTTTCATTCCTAACAGAGAGCAATACTGGACAGCCCCGTGGGGTCACCCAGAATGACAGGGGGAGAGTCTGGATGGGGGTGGGAAGACCGAGATCCCTGAATACTAGAGGTTTGACACCATCCTCTCCTGGAATCCTCCGGAATTCAACTGGAATTCTCCCAATGTGAGAAGGGTCACTGTCAGCTTATTTTACAGAGAGAGAAAAGTGAGACTAGAGAAGTGACCGGTCTAGGCACCAGGGCCGATAAATAAGACACATTCATATGAAGCCTAATTCACTCATCTATTATGTTTATGTAGTTTTACCCTTTGTTCTTCCCATTCCCCTAAAATATAGCCGCATAAAGGAAGGGGGTCTGTTTTGTTCACGGAATCTGTTTCAGGATATTGCTTTCCACACTTAATCGATACTCAATAAATTTGTCTTGAATTGGAATGTCCATGGGGACCAAATGTGAATGGGCAGATCTCGGATAAACTAGACAGGACACAGCCAGCCCCTACTGCAGGCAGAGTGTCCGAGGTGGTAGGTATGGAATGTGCTAGGAAGCTGGAAATTCAGATGTGCATGAAAACTCTAGGTTCTTAAATCTTAGCACATTCGATAATAATGTTTTTTAATATTTATTTATTCCTGGGGGGGGGGGGAGAGTGTGTGTGTGCAAGATCAGAGGAGGGCCAGATATAGGGAGACACAGAATCTGAAGCCCCTGATAATAATTTTTAAAACTTGTGTGGATAGGGGTGCCTGGGTGGCTCAGTCGGTTGAGAGACCGACTCTTGATTTCGGCTCAGGTCATGATCTCGTTGGTCATGGAGTCAAGTCCTGCTTCAGGTTCCTTGATGAGTGTGAAGCCAGCTTAAAATTCTCTCTCTCTGTCACTCTCTGTCTCCCTCTCAGGGACACCTGGGTGGCTCCTTCAGTTAAGCATCCATCTACGGCTCAGGTCATGATCTCATGGTTTGTAAGTTGGAGTCCTGAGTCAGGCTCCATGCTGAGTGTGGAGCCTACCTAAGATTCTCTCTCTTTCTCTCTCTCTCTGCCCCTCCCTCCCATTCTCTTTCTTTCTCTCTGTCTCTAAAATTTAAAAAAGGGGGCACCTGGGTGGCTCAGTCAGTTAAGCATCCTACTTCTGAGCTGTGCTGACAGCTCAGAGCCTGGAGTCTGCTTTGGATTCTGTGTCTCCCTCTCTCTCTGCCCCTCCCCTGATTGCTCACTCCCTCACTCTCTCTCAAAATGAATAAACACTTAAATTTTGTTTTATGTTTACTTACTATTACTATTGCCTGCTTGGCATTCTCTCACTCCTCTCTCTCTGGCCCTCCTCCCACTCATTCTCTCTCTCTCTCTCTCTCTCAAAAACATTTAAAATTCTCTCTCTCTCTCTCTCTCTCTCTCTCTCTCTGTGCTCCCCCCTCCCACGCTCTCTCAAAAAGAAAAAAAAAAGTGTGGATGGAGCAAACAAACAAGTCTGCAAAGGTAACTGCTCTCCCCCACCCCAAACTAGCCCCCAGCCTCCAGGAGGCCTTTGCCCGCAAACCTTGGGGGGTGTTGGCCCTGAGCCAGAGCTGCTCCCAAGATAGAAGGGATGCCCGAGGAGGGAAAGGAAGGCTGCCCCATTGGGGGCCGACCCCCAGGAGACCTCAGGCAGGAAAGGCGGCCTTGCAGAGCCCCGTCGAGATGCCTAGCCTCTGCCCCACCCCCGGGCCGCCGCCTACCAAACCTGTCCGACCCGTTGGCGGCGGCAATTCCCTCCCGGGAGCCATCCTGGGAAACCAGGGGAAGAAGGTCAGGTGGGCAGGCCCAGGGCAGAAGCCCCGCACCCTCGGACCGACCTGCTGGCCTCAGGGGCTCCGCCCGCAGCCCCGCCGCATGCTAGGGGCCAGGAGCCCCGCCGAGCTCGGGGGCCGCTGGCCAGCTCGCCCACCCGCCCGCTGGGCGCCCTGCTCCTGCGGCCGCTCCTCTTACACACCCCTGTTCCTTATCTGAAACGCGGTTAAAAATAGACCTGAGCCTCCAGGTCTCGGCGAGGATGGACAGATAAAACGGGTCGAGGACTCTCCCAGCACCTGGCCGAAAGGCGGCGTTCCAAAAACGGGGCTCTAGGTTTCTATGAGGATTCCGACCCGGCTCCGCAGACCGCCCCCCACCCCGCCCCCGGCGGGGGTCTCTAAGCAGCTCCAGAAGCGCCGGTCGCAGCCGGAGCCTCAGACAAAGGCGGCACGTGATAGACGCGAATCCTAAACTGATCTGAACAAATCCCATTTCGCAGGTGGGCAAACGGAGGTGTGGCGGCTCCTGAGTGTTAAGGCCACGGGTCCCAGTTCCCGGGTGGCGCTCGTCCTCTCCCCGCCAACGCCCCACCTACGTATTTCAAACGCGGCCCACAAACGGCCCCTCGAGCGCCAGCCGTGAGCCCTTCTCTAAGGGCATCCACCGGGCTTGCGGCCGCGCCTTGCCCCCTTCCCACTTGCTACCCTAGAGTCAGCCTTAGGGGGTCGGGGAGCTCAGGTCCTCCGCCTGGCTTCGGCCCTGCCCCGCTTCGGGACAATCTTGGAGACTTCCAGCGACGGAGGAGGCCGCGAGCCAGGCTGCCCGCTGTGTGACTCTGGCCGCTCACCGCCCCTCTCTGAGCCCGGGGTCGACCAGGCTCTTAAGTGAGGGGGGCTGACGGCACGACACCTGCGGTGTCGTGCGGGCGGGACGGTGAGCCTCCGCCCTGTCCCCACCTTCCCAAGAGGGAAGGGGTGGCCGGGCAGTCCCCCCACCCTGGCCCGCACCCCCCCCCCCCCCGCCCCGGCCCGGACCCGTACATACCTTGCTGTGCCCGCGCCGCTACAGAGCGCTCCCCCGGCCCGGCCCACCCGGGGCTCAGGTAACACGCGTTTGCGCAACTTCCGGCGGCCTGCCTGGGGCAGGTGAACCCGCCGGCCCGGGTGTTACCCGAAAGGGAAGAATGAACGCCAGGCGGGGGGCGGAACCTGCACTCGGGCGCGCTGGCTGGCGGCTCGACGCCGGCACCCGGGTTCCAGCCGCCCCGATCTATCCCCTATCTATCTCATCCCCGGATCGCCCAACCCGCGGCTACACTGGCCACATCCGCCCATCTGGCACCCGCAGTCCCCGTGGCCGCGCGGGCCAGGGCACCCATCTTGGAGGTGGAAAAACTGAGTCCCCTTTCCCCACGGCCTCAACGGACCGCCAGTTAATGGTGCCTGTGCCACGCAACTAGAAGGTGCTGTTCCCAGTATTAATTAACCCAGTTTCATCTTCCCAACCAGCCCTATGAGGTGAGCTCTGTTATTATCCCCATTTGGCTGATGGAATACTGAGGCAGGGACAGGCTGAGCTAGTGGCCCAAAGTCACCCTGAGGAGTCCGGCGTGGGCACTTTCCCTCTAGACCAAGGCTTAAGGTCACCCCTTTCTACCTGTGTGTCCTTGAGCAGGTGACTGAACCCCTCTGGCCCTCCATCTGCAAAGTGAGGAGAGTCTCACCTTCCAGGCCAGGTCAGTGGGAGTTCATAGGGTCTGAGAGTGCCTGTCGGGGGTCTGTGGGTGCTGTAAGCATTGGCAACAACAAGAGTAATTAAGAATAACTAGAAGGGGGTGCCTGGGTGGCTCAGTTGGTTAAGCATCCGACTTGGGCTCAGGTCATGATCTCACGGTTAGTGGGTTCCAGCCCTACGTAGGGCTCTGTGCTGACAGCCAGCTTACAGCCTGGAGCCTGTTTT